TCTGCTACGAAGGTACGCAGAGACGCCCAGAGAAGTTAGTGATGTGAAGAATAACACAAGTACATGTCTTTTAAGAACAACTGAGAATATTGTTGTTGTAGTCAAAGAAACCCCAGATTTGGCTTTTCCTAGTCGTTCTTTGGAATTAACATTCCACAAACGTCATTACACCGTATTTTGGATAAAGACTTTACCTAAAATTTCAATTAACACAAGAACTCAAGCCGGCCGGCCGATCACCAACCGTGTCTTTGCTGACAGGGTCCTTGAAATGCATGATAATGATCACGAATTCCATTGAAAATCATCCTGACATATGAGGCCCGCTTCCACACATCGATGGCTACGTCAACAAGCCAAACTATCGCATCTCCGGATCGGAAAACCCTAGATTTATTGGTGGTGAGGCGGTTTACGATCTGGCAGGTTAAGGATCCTCACTTTTTCGAAAATGGAACTGGGAAAACAGTTACGGTGAATGAATTTGCACTATCGAGAGATGATTAATGATTTTTAACGACACTCCGTGCCACACAAGCAACGAAACCATCAATCTTTTAAAGTAAAAGTGTGACCGTGTTATCGCTCAAGGAAGTGATCGCAATTGACCAACGAGATCTTATGATTTTTTATCTTGCGACTTCTTCATTTAGGGCCACATGAAATATAAGGTCTACACCAATAGACCAACGTCGTTTCAAGCCCTCTAATATGGAATGGATGAAGCTATTGGGGCCGCTTTGCGATTTGGCGATGAAAAATTTCATAAACAAGATACGGTCCTGTAAGCGTTGCCGTGGCGACCATTCGGCTGATATTCTTCCTCATTATCATTAATGGTAAATCTTCCTTTTTACATTGGAATACAAATCCAAATATTTATTTTCAAAAACTACCATTGTTTTCATATCAAAATAACACCTCTTATTGGAAAACCCGTATATTAGATCCTCTCATTAAAATACATATTTTTTCAAACTTGCGCTCTTATTTACACCAAGCAATATCATTAAATACTAAAACCCCCTGCGTGTTAGGGGCTCAAGAATTTACCCGCGGTAAGGCATGCCTGTCGAAAGAGGCGACTAAAATCCGATAGTTCCCGCAGTCGGGTCTTTATATCGGGACGAACCGGATTTTTATCCGGCCAAGGACTGTCACTCCCGCAACATTCCCAAAAAGAACTTTGGGGAATAATTTAGCGATTACAACAACAACAATATAAAAATAAGAACCATAAACGCCATCAATGCGTTTAGAAAGGAAAACCACTACAATAAAAATATATGATGCTCATCTAAGAGGATTTATTTATTGTTATTTTAATTTAATTTTTTTTATTTTTCCTTTATTTTTTTTTGTTATAAAAATTTTGTCTTGCATTTTGACGCCCAACGCCGAGAGTAAGTAGTATGCAGTACGAAGAGCGAATACCAAAACTGTATACTACGATACGAGCAAGTTTACTGTTAAATAATTCTCGTACATACATATTCACAAACCATACATATGTGTTGTATGTATATGCAGTTGTGCATGAAAAGCCAACGAACGTATAATGTAAACAGAATGAACTGTAAACAACTGTCAGCATAAAAAATTTTCCTTTTTTTCCATTTAATAATTTATTTTCCTTTAATTCATCAATTTATTACTTGTACAAAAGTATTTGTTTATTCGCTAATATCACTTTGATGACATTTACTCACGTTTGCTCATGCTACAAAAAATAATAATTTTTTACTTTGTTATGCATCTATGTACTTTTACATCACTTTTAATTGTTTGTTTGTTTACCTGTCGAAATAAGGCACAAGAATTTTTTTGTTTTATTGTAGTAGTAAAATGAAAGAAATGTTGGTATGTACATACATACATATGTGTGTGCGAAGACGTATATTTAGCAAAAAACAAAAACCGAAAAAAAAACATACTAACCTAACTTCAAACGGTACATATGTATGTAGATACTCCAATCATCAATTCTTCAGTTGGTTAGATCTGCAACGGATTCCATTTCAGTTAACATTTATGTTGTGCAGAGTTTGAGTACGATTTTTAACGAGTATGTATGTATATGTATACATATATGCATGTATGTATCTACATATCTGTATTTGTAAATGCCTCCCTCGGTCAATAGCACAGAAATAAGCCAAGCGCGAATTTTGTGTGCAAGTAGAGCTGTTTGCATTCAAAGCGCCTCTTTTGCTTTTTCTTCTTGTTCTTCATTCTCTTCCGACAACTAGATATGCTGTTACTTGTGATTCATTCTTATTTTTCATATTTTTTTGCCTCGTTTCTGTTTTTGTCATACTATTTCAACATACGTCACATGTAATGCCGGTTAGACGGAGACAACCGTCATTGGTATGGTTGTAGGTCTGTCCGTGTGTTGTGTGTGTGTGTGTGTGTTGTGTTGTGTTGTTGGCTTGAATCATATTCTTCATTGAGGTTAAGTTGTGTACAATTCAGTTTTGTTTATTACATTTTGACCGAAACCAGAAGTAAGTAGTATTTGAGTATTTTAGTTTACATTTTACCCAAGAGTTTAACTCATTGAGTGAGTGACATATAAACGCCGCACCTCAATTGAGTGAGTAAGTAAAGTTCACTATGGAATTGTTCACGCAGCGTGCTCACAGAGTTCTATTTACTTGTTAAGAGCATCGCAGTGACCCAAATGGAAAAAAATTATATAGAGCAGCATTTCAGAGGAACGAAAATTTACGAAATTATTTATTTATTAACTTCATATAGGTGGTTAACCCTTATGCTTGGCATCATTATTTATTAAGCTTGCAATAATATTCGAGAAAAATCCAAATGCAATGTTGATCTGCAATATTTTTGATAAATCTAACCGGAATATTCTACCCTTTAAATAATACAAAAAAAAAAAAAAAACATTGAATACTCAAAACTTGAACTCTGTAATCTTCGTAAACCGACAGACCATAAAGGGTTTTCGAATAAGATGTGTTAATTTGAATAACCTGCTGTTCCAGTAGATATCAATTTCGAAGATGTAATTTCTTGACAAATGTCAAGTAAAAACTACGCCAGTTATAAAAATGAAACGATTGTTGAAGCGTGAAGCGAAGAACGACATACTGAAATAATTAAAATTCATTAGAAAAATACTGAAAATCTGGCAGAGACGCTTCTTAAAACTAAAATTTTTTCGTTCGACATGAAGCCCCTTGTCGGGCCGCAACACAGAGATATATAGCAAAAGTGGAGCTGTTGGAAAAAGTTAGTGATGTCAAGAACAACTGAGAATATGCTTCTGCAGCCCAAAGTGCTGAAAAAATCCCAGATATGTTCATTCTTCGACGTTCCTAAGAGGACTTGAGTCTTCAGGCTTATAAAGTGCAGTCAATACAAGAACTCAAGCCGATAGATCATCAACGACGTCGATGCTGACTGGCTCCTTGAAATGCATAAAAATTATCAGAAATATCATCGAAAGGTTATCTAGACTGATGAAATGTATTTGGAACAAGACGACGATATATGCCACACAAGAAACGAAACTATCGATCTTCCAAAGGAAAAGCATGAACCGTATTATATCTGTGGATCACAATTTGCCACTGAGATATATAATAACTTTCGAATTCTTTTTTTTTTTTTTTGAGGTCACGTGAAAGATAAGGTCTACGTCAACAGAAAAAGGTCGATCCTAAAACACTCATATACGCAGATGATTCAAGTTTTTTAAGTCAGTTCAAGCTATTGAAGACAAAGAGCTTTCCCGTATTGACCTATATAATATACATAGTTAGATGGTGTGGTTCGGGCTGTGTATCCCTTAATTTAAATAGCCACAAATATATCTGTTTCTCCAGAAAATCTTTCCAATCGTTTGTATATGTGACACATAATCACAATGTTGAACAAGTTGATGACAATAGACCTTAGGCTAGATTTTAGAAATCATGTTAGTTTTTAGGCGAAGCTTTCATTAAACACTTTAGGCCCTTTTCATTTTATTCATGCAAAACAAACTTTTAAAAGCACTACTCTTTTAAATCTTTTGTGTATCAAAACCTACTTACCGAGTGCTTTAAATAATTAAGTAAATTCCTACTCCTTTTTCCCATTTAATTTTATAGCCGCTGATGAACAAATCTGTAGTTGTTTAGTGTAAGAGACAAGTGTTACCGCAACCTTCCGCGATCGGTATCGGATTGAGGGCAGTCCGAACTATCACTGATCACCGGTCTGGGCAGCGTCCCATGGTCATTTGGGCGTCAACCAAGATCAAGAGGCTAGATTTTATGTAGCTATTGAAGGTATACAGAAAGGGTATAGTATTTTTATTTGAAAATATAACTGCTATACTCTGATGTCTTAAAAAAAAATTGAACTTCACTTTTTTATTGATATATTGAGAGTAAAGGAAGAAAAATACCTGTAACCCCAAAATAAATGACTTAATGGACGTTATGTACAAATATTTTCTTAGATGGTTCTTAAGAGATTTAAAAAAAGCCTCTGCTCTCAGTAACAATGCTCAAAACATGCTCTCTCTTTATTCATCATCAACTCTCTTATGAACTCATGTTAACAAGCGATAATTTTTCAATTTAATTAGTCTCATTTAGAGATCACAACCGATGCTCAAATGTGAATGCTTAATATAATTATGATTATTGTAGAGAACCAGAGACTCAATTAATGAATCATTCATTTAACCCTATCGACATCAGGCAAATGAACAAAGCATATATGAATCTTCAGCGTTCTGTAGAAGGCTCGGCAGTTGCAATATGAAAAATAATTGCTCAGTTAAAATAAGAAATGTCACAGCAGATGTGCGATTAATTTGATAGAGGCAATTTGCGAGCGCTGATTAAGCTAAATGAGCGACGAGTTGCGTTCAATAAACTTGGGAGTGTGAAAACACACTTCGCTTAGTTTTTACTGACTCTTATTGCTACTTTAAAAGATGTGAATTGAATAAGAATTAATTTTTTTTGATTTTTTCATTATAGCTAAAATTGGTATATTCTACACAATCTTCTATGGCGTCTTGGCTGCATTGGTGGCTATTTGTATGTGGGTTTTCTTCCAAACGCTAGATCCACGCATACCCAAATGGACATTGGATAGTTCTATAATTGGCACAAATCCAGGTGAGATGATAGCTTTCATTTTCGTTAATGACATAAAATTTAATGGAAAAAAATATTCAACAGGCCTTGGCTTCCGCCCACTGCCACCATCGGACAATGTGGAGAGTACATTGATTTGGTACAAGGGTACACAGCATGAGAACTACAAACACTGGACGGATTCGTTGGATGAGTTCTTAGCAGGTAAAAGAAATGAGTTAAAGATTAAATCACCGAAACTACTTTTCGACTACAACAAACACTTTGACACTTTACTTTACAAGTCTATAAAGTGCCTGGCCTAACACCCGGTCGTGGTCAGAACATTTACAATTGTGACTACAATCAACCACCGCCAAAGGGTCAAGTTTGCGATGTGGACATTAAGACGTGGAGTCCATGCACTAAGGAGAACAATTACAGCTATCACAAGAGTTCACCGTGCATTTTCCTAAAATTGAACAAAATCTATGGTTGGATACCGGAGTATTATAATATGTCATCAGATTTACCCGAAAATATGCCAACTAGCTTGAAAACTTATATTGCTGGTATTGAAAAGGATCAAAATCATAAGGTTTTATTTAAATTTTAATGTAATTTTATAATTTCTTAAAAAAAGAATTTCATTGCAGTTAAACACTATTTGGGTTTCATGTGAAGGTGAGAATCCTGCCGACCAAGAGAATATTGGACCAGTCAACTACTTGCCCATACGTGGTTTCCCTGGCTACTTTTATCCCTACCAAAATTCCGAGGGCTATCTCAGTCCGCTCGTGGCTGTGCATTTCGAGAGACCGAAGCGTAGGTTTATTTTTATTATTTCGAAAAACTTTAAGGCAATTGAATTCGTTGAAAATGTTACTGGAGAGAAATTTATGATACAAAACATATAGATGTTATATCTCAGCCTCTATGACGCGTCTAATAATTTTTTGTTAGCTCTTGTAATTTCCTATTTACCACATTAAATTTAAGCACCGTGGAAAATAACTTCAGGAGTAACAAAGCCTCACTAATTATATTTACAAGGATTGGAAGAAGCAATGGATTGCCCAAGCTATCGATCACTTCTGTGGCTAATCGTTTAGTCCGTTCGCCATGATGAAAAAGAGGGAGAACGTGAACAAAGATTTCGGCGATCACGATTCGTCCTACCATGTTTTGATATACATCTTCTCTCCTTCCCTCTGACACGATCCGACTAGATTAAGCCGAATTTTGAGATGGTATTGTATCGCTCACTCTAAACAAAAACTTCCTATGAAAGCATGAATACATTAAGGCAGCCCGTTGTAATACACCCGTGTTGACCAAATCACCGAATTTCAATAGTTATCCACTTTATTCCCTTAGGTAAGGTTAGGTTAGGTTGCGCCAGATGCTTGACGGAGACCGATTGTGATGCCACAAAATTTTTACCATCAGGCTTCATTATCCAGCCAATGCCAATGAACCTCTTTAGATTTATGATTTTGACGTTTTGATAGATTATCCAGCAGTAGGGTCCCAAAATTTCGAAACCTAACCCTGCTCAAAGCAGTACTGTCGCATAGCAGAACTCATGGACATGCCCCTTTTCTTCAGGAGCGCATATCTCGTGATCTCTTCTTTTTCCATGTCAGTCATGATGCGACTTGTTCATACGTGAATTCCCTGAGATAAAGCTTGCAAGTGGCAAACGGTCTAGCCCGTTCACCCGCCTTACAGTTTCCCTCGATGTCCCCGTGACCAGGTACCCCCGTGAGAGACAGTCTGTACTGCTTGGACATCTGCTGTTGTCTTATAAATTTTAGTAAGTAATTAATCCTAAAAGATTTGAGTCGTTCTGCTTATGGCTCAATCAGCCATTGGCCCGTCCAATTACTTTATGTTCTGTCTTTTAAACTTAGCAGATTCCATTTCAACATAGTTTATCCCAATTTCATACAAATCGCGTTTCAATTCTGCACTTATACTTTAAGTATTTTTTTTAGAAGTACATAACAATGCATTAATTCCGGGAAAGATCTACTTAGTCGTTCCTTGCCTGGCAAGTTCGTTTGCCTTTCGGCAACATTCGACATCCCTGTAGTTAAGAACTCAAGTGAGAAATAATCATTGCGACCAGCACCTGTAGAGATCGGGGAAAGTCTAGCTGTTGTAAGCAAGCCAAGCTACTTAAGAGGATAGTCGATATTTCGGTTCTAAGTACACTGCGATGAACGGGTAGGTGAGCTCATTTCCTAAGGCAACCGCGAGCTGTTTGCATGGTTTGACTCTCCAAATTTATCAATTCATTCTTCCCTTCTCTGGATTTTTGAAATATGTAGTTATTACTGATACTAAGAGTTGAAGAAGTTTGTAAACAAACCGCCAGATGCATCTCAATACTGTCAATTGGTATTAAGCGTAGAGCTGTAGCGGATTGTGTTGCCTGGTATCAAAGGATTTTCGAGTGTCTATGTGGTTGATGACTTTACTAACTTAACTGACTTAGACGAAAATATATTAGTGCTCTAATCTGGTAACTGATACGGTCTGGTGGTCAAATATTTTCAAATTCAAGGCCTCACTCAAAAGCATTGGTCTTACAACAGAACAGACGTATAAAAGATTTAAAATAATTCAATGAATTCTTTATCAATTCCCTGAGTTTGGTCCATGAATAAAATAGAGAAATTTGAACTTCTAAACTTATAATTGACATGAAAGATGTTTTTTTTTTTTTTTGAATACATATACACGAGTGTGAGAATAAATTGGCACCTTCAATTTGTGGTGCGAGTCTTGATCTACCAAATGGTAGGAGCTACAGTTGTCGCCTCCGAACGGCTGAGGGATTTTTCAGAGGAACCTTGATTTCATGTCAGAAATACATTCGAGGGGTTGAAATTCTCTGCCAAAGGGCAACCATATTAGAAAATAAATTTTCAATAATTTTGGAAGATAAGCCTTCTGAATCGCTTCGATGCTGCAATTTTCAGATTTCTTTTTTAGATTTTCTGGATAATAATTAAAAATTATGACATATCAAGAGAAATTGGGTTTATTTAGCACCAAATGATGTAAGGCTTCTAGGATATAATTTTTACGGTTCATAAGATCCTTCGACAAAAGTTTACGTTCGAAATCTATTTTAATTATAATATTTCTTTTAATTCCCCATTCAATTTTAGATAAACTTATGAGTTTCGAGTCTTTTAAAAAATTACGTCCAATTAAAAAAAAATTTAATACCGAATTATTTTTTTTTTCAACTTAGGAACTTCTAGAAATTTTCACATTTTTGCTTCAAATTACATAATATAATTATCTTAAATAGACTTGAATTAATTAATAATAAAATAACCTCATCTTCACCAGGCGGCATCATCATCAATGTGGAATGCAAGGCTTGGGCACGCAACATTCATCACGACCGCAAGGAGAGGCTTGGTTCGGTGCACTTTGAGTTGCTGATCGATTAACAGAGTGTGGGAAAAATGTTTGATATATACAATAATAATAAATAAATTAAAAAATGAGAGCATTCGGGCGGCGAAGCGCCGACAAATGGTACACCATGACATGCCGAGGGCAGCATAGATTTTTTCAGCATTATATTGTATAACATAAAGGAATACAAAATGAAAGAAAATGAATAAAAATAAATTTTATATATTGTAACAAGGAGCTATGCAGTCGAACGATTACACTCTATTACATTTGCATACAACAAAAAGAAAAAAGAAAAAAAAAAACAAATAAATGAAGAGAGAAGAAATTGTTCTAGAGCAAGTTGATGGGTTCTAAAATTATGTAAAAAATGGCATGCCACTTTCTTCACTGAATTAAATTTAATTTATTTGAAAAGTTTCTTTTCTGTTAGTTTATTATATGTATTTTCGTTTGTTTAACAGTTTTAAGCAGTTAATAATTATGTATAAGAGTAAGAGTATGAAAGCCAGTGGGCTATGGTGGAAATAAAAATAATTAAAATAATATATAACCATTTCGAAAACACTTTTTCCTAGTACACACACACAATAGACATACACATACATAGACATATGTTACAAATAAAATCTATATGAAAATATAGTGCAAATATTTGACAATCCCATACTGAACGTCGGTTGTACATATTTATTTGTATTTTAAGCCGCCACCAAATATGAGTAGTGTAAACGTTTGTTGTTGTTTTGTTCGGTATCTCGATTCAAATATTGTACGTTTATAATCACATTAAAAACATAAACTACATACAAACACATATAAAGTTTTTGAATGTAACCAACACATGCATATGCATATAGATGTGTATGTTATCGTATTTTATTTTAACTGCCATTAAAGCTTCGACAATTTGTTGTAGTGATCCTCAGAGATATATATTTCATATATACACAAAAAATAACACGAAAAGAAAAACTGATTTATTTATTACAAAGACCTAAAAAAATAATACTGGAAATAAAACCAAATGTCATGCTAAATAATATTATGTAATCTAAAACAAAATAAAATAAAACAAAATAAAATAAAAAAAAATTAAAATAATATTAAAGTAAATAAAATAATCTAAAACAAAATAAAATAAAATGAAACACAATACAATAAATCAAAAAAAAAAATAATAATAATTAAAATAATATAAAATAAATTAAAACAAATTAAATAAAGCAAATTAAAATCAAATAAGACATAATAAAAGAAAATAAAAATTTAAATAAAACAAAGTAAAATAATACAAAATAAACAATAAAAATAATATTAAAAATTAATGCAATAAAATAAGACAAAATAAATTAAATAAGCAATAAAAATAATATTAAAAATAAATAAAATAAAGCAAATTAATTTAAAAAACAATAAAATAACATAAAAATAAATAAAATAATATAAACAAAAAATTAAAATCTTATTAAAAATAAATATTTTTATTTAATATTAAATTAAAATGAAACATAATAAAATAAAAAAATATAATATAATAATATAAATAAAATTAAATAAAAAACCAAAATTAAGCAAGTTGAATAAAAAATGAAATAAATACTTTAAATAATAAAATTAAATTAAAATAAATAACATAAATAAAAATATAATGACAAAAAATAAAAAAAAATTAAATTAAATAAATAAGAAAAGAAAATTTAAAAAAATTTAATATAAAGTAATCAAAATAAGTTAAATTGAATTTAATTAAAGAAAAGAAAAATATTAAATGAAAAATTCAAATGATTTAAAATTAGATTGAATGAAATAAAATAATTCAAAGTGTAAAAAAGTACAAAATGAACTAAAATAAAGTAAAATTTGCCAAAATTAGATCAAAAATAAAATAAAATAATTAAATAAAAAATTATAAAAATTTAAGTAAAAAAAATGAAATAAAAAAAATAATATAATTAAATATATAAGAATAAATGAATTTAATTTAACCAAGTTTTACCCAAAATAAATTTAAGATATGCCTATACAATATTTTAATTTTTCCAAGAAAAAAACGTTGAGTGAAAACCATTTTTACAAAAAAATTTCAACATTTTTTAAATTCAAAGGTTAACTAATTTTTCAGTCGTTTCATTACATGAAGGTTAAGAATGAGAAGGTCATGCTCGTGATAAGTGAAATATTTGTTTCCGAGCACATAAACTATATTTTATGCAAAATATTGGGTGGAAACAAAAATTGTGTTTGTTACCCAAATAAATTATCTACTTAGAAGTGTAATATAAAAAAAAACAATATGATTCACAAAGGAAAATTACAACAAAGGAATCTATACTACGCGTCATTTCATTAAAATAACATTTCGTTTTTGTAAACTTGTACTAAATTTACTTAGCTTTTAAATAATGTAAAATTTATTGCTTAAAGATTTTATGTAAAAAAAGTCATTTAGTGTTATATATAATTACCCGTCACAAAAAAGCGTCGTTAAAACAGCTACCCTTTCATATACACACATCAATATAAATAAATACCAACAACTACTTAGCGTTTAAATAAAGCAAACACCTAGTAATGTACAAGTAGTTCAAATAAACCAAGAGGAAATGAAAAGAAACCCATTCAAAACAAATATAAATGAGAAGTGAATACTTTGTAAGTTATAAACAGTTATAAGTAAGAAGTAAAGTGTAAAGAATAGAAAAAAAAACGAATAAAAACGATTGAAAACCAAGTGTATTAAATGAAAATCTTCTTCAAATAAATCTTATCTACCACTAACAACGCACATAAATCAATAATATACATATTAAATATAAAAATATATATATATACATATAATTTTAAAATCAAATCATGAAGACAGTAGGGAGGTAAAAAGGAGGTAGGGATAAAAGCAATAAATTTGTTTTTTTTTAATTTATTTTTATATTCTTAGTAACCACTTTGTTTGTTTGTGCTTTTTTTGTGCCAATTACGCAATTTATTAATTTCACTAATCTGATATACAGCTGATAAGATAAAAATTCATGAATCGAATCGAATGAAATCAGTATTTTGCACAACCGACAGCTGTGACGATAGAAATCACCAACGACGTAAGCAGTTCGCACCGGTTACGGTAATAGTTGTTGGGTGTATGTGAGATATTCGAAATATAAGTTCAAAAATAACAAATAATAATTTTAAGCAGTGCTAGATAAATGTAATCAACTGCAGGTACTCATCTGTATGTGAACAACACTTGTCGCATAACAAATTGATATCTTAAGGTTTTCAAGTACGTCATTTTCTAATCACTGCTGACCGTCGGAAAGTATGATAAAAATGAAATGGAAATGATATGAAAGACTTTTAGACCTTAGTTTTGTTTAATATTAAATTTATTTATTTGTCATAAATTATACTTTTCATTATTTTTAAAGGCTTTCTGAATTTAATTATCATTTTTGCTTTCTGTGGACCTTTCAATAATTTGTTTCCCTCGGCTAAATTTTTTCAGTAATTTTGTATCTAAGAACTACTTGGGACTTTTCTGAAATCAAGCTGCGATCAGAGTCAGTATAGAAACCAAACGGAATTGCATAAACATGATCTGGCATCCTTTCGAATTTTATTTATCGGAATGTTTGTGCGAATTTATTAATCTAACGAACACGATATTTTATATTCTGTTTATTATAAATTATATTATCTGCTTATCGGAAAATTCTGATTCCAAAAATCCAATGAGGTATTGCTTGGCGGGTTCAGTTCGTTTATTTTGAGAAACACAAACATCTAAGAAAAGTAAATATGTAGATACAATGCTTGTTTTCAAAGTGTTCCCTAAGGTTATATTTGAGTACAGAAATATGAGTACGGTAAGAAAATTGGTTTGGAATGTATTAGATGTTACCTAGCCATCCACTGGTAACTTCCTTTAACCTCAGTGTAAGAAAAGCTGGAATGTTTGGTTCCACTTTACGCACTTCTATATAGACCGTATTGAGCAAAGCATTTTAAAACAGTTAATATGAAAATCAATATATATATAATTAATAATAGTTTCATTCATTAACCTCATAATGAACCTGTGTAGCCACTTCGACGCAAAATTCTCCTCCGCGATCTTTTCACTTTATTTTCTTTTTCAAATCCAAAGTCAAGACAGCAATAAGCATCACTTATGATAAATTCTTCAACAACTTAAAGTATGCATACATGAAATTTATTTAAAAAAAAATGGAGCTGAAAACCGATTTAATTATGACTCTTCGAATCAGATTTGTGGTTTTTTCACTTAACAGCGCCGAACACCTTTCCTATTCCAACTTACTAGAATTTTTGTTATTTTCGGGAAGTCGAAGTCCTGAAAAATCCCATTTATGGTTAAAATGACTTGAAATTTTTATCTCCCTTATAAGTTGACTAGGAACCGTTTATTAAAAAAAAGATCGATTTGATTGAATTTTTTTGCAAAGGTAATTTTTTGTCAAGATAATCTTATAGACAGAAGTGGATCAGAGACTAAGGATCAGATTCCTTTCTCTTGAAATTTATTATGTAGGTAGCTTGGGCTAATGATTTGAAACTTTTTGGGCAGTTGAAAAAGAAATCTATTGGTTTGATATATTGTATTATAAGTTATTTACTATGATATAAACCCCATGGATGCAAGATGGTTGCAAGCCGTGCATATAGATTTAAAGTTTACATAACCAGAAATCAGAGAGAGAGGAGAACCATCATCTGCGAATAGAAGAAACTTTAGGTTCAGAAATAAAATGACAAGTTTCTGGAACCCTAATGGGTGTGGATAATCAAGCTATATATATGTAGGTGTATTAAAACCGGCCCCAAACAGTCGATTTCTTAAATATTTTCCACACGGCATTATGGTACTTTATTTGCGTTTATTTTGTTTTATTTCTATTTATTTTATTTTAGTTTATTTTACTTCATTATAATTTATTTCATTTTAATTTACTTTAATTATTTCATATTATTTCATTTTATTGTATTTAATTTTTTTTGTTTTTTTTTAGTTTTATTTTATATTATTTTATTTTATTTTAGTTCATCTAAACTTATTTCATTTTAACTTACTTTCATAATTTTATATTATTTGATTTTAGTTATTTTGTCGGGTTTTATTTAATTCTATTTTTGTTTTAATTTTTTATTTTATTTTTTATTTGATAAACAAGTAGTTTTATTTAATTTTATTACGTTATTTATAACTTATAATATAATTGGCGCTTTGTAACCACAGAAGCGATTTTGTGGTTTTGCATCTTGATGTTTTTTCCAATAAATGGAGGGACTTACAGTTCATATTGAGGCGCCTCCGAATGGCTAATGGTTTTATATGAGGAGCTTACTTCATGTCAGAAATACACTCGTATTGGCTTGCATACCTTGCCAAGGGGCGAACGCAATTAAAAATGATAATTTATTTTTTTTTATTATATTAATTTTCTATAACTTTGGAATGAACATTGTACCAGGCTTTGAAACCTGGCCTTTCGAGTGGCAGTTTTGTCTGTAATTTTCTTAATTGTTTTGTTTTATTCATTTTATTTTGTTTAATTGCTTTTTTAATTTAGTGTATTTTATTTGATTTGATTTTATTTTATTTCATTTTATTTTATTTTATTTTATTTTACTTTATATTATTTTATTTTATTTAATTTTATTTTATTTTATTTTTTTATTTTTTATTTTTTTTTTTTGTGTGGCTGCATTTTATTAGTTTTACTTGAAATTTAGTTCATTTTATTTGATTTTATTTCAGTTTGTTTTGCTTTTTACAAAAACTTCGAATTGCTCAAAAAA